ATGCCGGGACCACACGGTATCATATAAGAGAAGTATATGATCCTGGTATACCACGCTGGCTTCAGTCCTCAATAACGACAACGCATGGGTAAAGGGAGAAGGGATTGTTAGTAATGGGGATATAGCAGCTCCATTGCTAGCAACATACCCAACCAGGTCGACCTCCGCGCGGTTCTCCTGAAAACTATCGTGGTTGATTCTTATCGAATTCATCATGATGGGCTAACTGACCTGCTTTCATCCTCATCCTTATTGCCTATCGCTGGTGCCCCGCCAGCATATACCCATAACGCAGGCGAGATGGCCATTCCAAGTTCACCCATTGGGAGGAAAGGGATTGTTAGCAATGGAGTTTGACAGCCCCAGTACTATCAGTATGCCCAATTAGGTCGACCTCCACGTGGTTCCACCTGGAAACCATCGTGAACAATTCTTGTTGATCATCGTGAGATGGGCTGACTGACCTGCTTCATCCTCACCTATCATCCTTCACTGGTACCCCGCCGGTGTATACCGATAGCGCGGGCGGAATTACGATTCCATTATCACCCATTAAAAAAAAAGTTCACCCATTAAAAAAAAAACGCAAGGGAATGTTTGTATTCTGTGACATGCGTAGAGCTATTCTTACAATCAGATCTAATTTTGACTTTTCTAAAGTTCCCTCGTTTACCATTCCAAATTGTACAAAACGAACGTCCAAATAAACCGAGATTCTTGAGTCACTAAAAATAAATAAAGGTCAAGGGGAGTCGAATGTAATATCTATTCTCGTAAATGCAAACACATGTAGCCAACATCTGATCTCGACAGTGACAATTTCGAAGTTTAAGTATATCAGAAAATTAGTATAGTATGCGGGATATTAAAGAAAGATAAGTTTTATTTCTAATGGATGATAATGGAATGGTAACCCCGCCTGCGCTAACGGTATACGCTGACGGGGCACCAGTGAGGGATGATAGGTAAAGATAAAAAAGCAGATCATTTAGTCCATCGTGATGAATACACTTTGAATTCAGCACGGTGGTTTCCAGGCAGGACCACGGGGAGGTCGACCTGTTAGAACTCTCTTAGAGCATCCCCCCCCCCCCCCCCAAGAAAGATAAGTAGCTGAGTTTTTCCTACCAGAAAACAACTACAATGGTTCCATAATGAAGCGTATAGAAATACCTAATAGGGTATATCGGTAAAAATAGGGTCCCGATTTGAATACCCATTAATGGGAGGGATAGGAAAATTGAGTCCCAGTTACCTCCACTAATCGTCGTCTGCGCCCCGGCCTAGAATGGGCTACCCCTTACTTTCCCGTGGTTGTCGTAAGAGGCAACTAAGGGAAGTCGAGGAAGCAGCAACGTCCCACTTAAAACATCTGTAAAAGTCTAACTGCGGTTGTCAACCCGCCTGCCAAACGTAGCAACTAAGACGGGCAAAACTCCTCTTATGAGGAAGGCTTACGATCAATAGTGGACAGTTAATGACTGAAATAAATAATAAATACCTCAACTAATATCATGTTATAATACAGTTTGCTTTGCCTGCATAAACTCAATAATACAGGCAATTTTCCCTAGAGAGTAGACTTCTGTAAAGAAGTCTACGCTCTAGGGAAAATTGCCTGATGTAAATTTTACAAGTTAGAATAGAAAAGTTATATTAATCCGAAGTTCGGTGATGGGGAATGACGCCAGGGAATAGGGCCAATAGAATACAAAATCACGAGCCTTTGAAAAGATTGAATGCTAGAAATTTTATACCAAAAGCGTGGTAGTGTATTTATTCTAAAATAACTGAAAAAATAGAGTAAACTGGAAAAAAATCACGCTGACTTCGAATAAACAGGGGCAAGGTCAACAGGTGATGATTGTGAGCATTTATTTATTTTAAAAGGTACATCAACAGTGTACAATTATAGTAAGGGGGGGGAAGGGATTGTTAGGTTACGCTGGCGGGGCACCAGTGAAGGGTGATAGATGAGAATGAAAACAGGCCAGTTAGCCCATCATGATGAATTCACCAGGAATTAATCATGATAGTTTCCAGGGGGAACCGCGAGGAGGAGGTCGACCTAGTTATATTGCTAGCAATGGGATTCTCAGTCTCCATCATTAACAATCCCTTTCCCCCCAATTTAATAAATTGACACATACTTGAGAAGTAACAAACAAACAAACACATTTCCATCAAAAACAGTCCAGATAAGTAAATTTATTCGCTCGTAAACATACAACAAACAATGATGTTCTTTATGAATATTATTAAAATAGGTTTATGTGTTATCAATGAAAATATTAACATACGCCTTTATGAGGTGACGATGAACTGATTCTCCGTACAAGGTTTCAGATACGTTTTTCACGTTTCACTATAAACAAGGTCGGGTTTATTTACACAGTTTTTGGGTTAATCCCCTCTTATATCGTGTTTTTAAATGTTGGACACTAACTTTTGGCCGCGACTTCATCTGACTAGCATATATTCAATAAACGAAATAAAAAGGTAGCCTAAATCCTTCTCTAATCCACATTATTATTATTATAGCTTTTTCTCCACTTCAGTGGTCCCCAAGGGTAAAAGCTTCCTCCATCTTTTTCCACTTTTCCTTATCTGTAGCAATATTTATTCAGTTTTTTCCTGTTGTCTTTATTATGTCATCAGCCCATCTCTTTCTTTGCCTTCCCAACACTTCTTTTTCCTGCTGGACCTCGCCATTTTGTTGTATGGAGGGTCCACCTTTTATATTTGTACCTCACTATATGACTTGCCCATCTCCACTTCTGTTTCATACTATACTGAAGAGCATCTGTTATTTTGGTTTTCTTCCTAATATCAGTGTTTCTTGTTTTCTGTATTCTTCTTCTTCTTAGCTTTGAGATACTTCTTTCCATCGCATGCTGACATGATAGGATTTTGTTCTTAATTTTTTCAGTATAGGTCCATGTTTGGCATGCATATGTTAGGCTTGGAAGGATGCAGGAGTCTTTAATTGCCTTTTTCAAGTTAAGGTTATAGTTCCCTTTAAGGATTTCTTTTTGAGCCCAATATTTCTTCCATGTTCTATTTATTCTTCTATCAACAATCCACATACTACATGTATATTAAATTTCATAGTGACTGGTAACAAACAATCTCACTTTCACGTTGTTAATATTATTAAGTATATAACCGTTAGTATTATATGTTTTACTAGTAGCTTGAATAATTTGTATATATTAGAAGGAAAATAGCTAATGTAATATTAATGATAAATTTAGCCAGGGGCCATATAGATTGCCCTGCCCACCTTTGTCGATGAAAAATTTCCCTTAAAGCTTTTTTCACTGACTCGTACCTAGTACAGAAGCAATTGCTTCGTAATACGAGCTTCCACTGTTTTTAATGATGTATGTATTAGGGATTTGAAATTTTTTTCTAATTTTCCTACTTAAATATTTATATAAGGTTTTAATAATTATACAGGGGGGAACTTTGCACCGCCACATATGTACATATTTGTTTTTATAAATATATTTATATATGTATATCTTTACAAAAATCTCATTACGTATTGATTTGAAGTGTAAATAAAAAAAAAATATTAATTTAATTCTTTTAATAAATATTAATTTTATTTTATTATAAATTATTAATTTAATTTAATTTTAATTCTTTTAATAAAATATTAATTCTTTTAATTTTAATGTTTAGCTTTGTGTATTCAATGAAATGGTTCTTTGATATCTGAAAGAATATATTTCAGAATTAATAATAGCTATATTAATATTTCAACGTAACAATGAGCTCAGGAAATTAATTTCCCTCACGTTTTGTATCCGCTATTTGAACAGGGAGTTTTTTTTTACTTATTTATATGTGTATATATACCAGAGGGAGACTTTGTACAAAAATCGTTTGCTTGGGCAACTCGGTCCCATTCGTGTTTCTACCGTGAAACAGTTGTGTTTACATGGTTGTATTTCGGTTTGAAGGGCGGGATATATCTTACTATCCCTCCAACAACTAAATTTATTACTATAGTAATGAATTTACCAAAGTACAAAGGAATAACACCTGAGTTCTTAGGAATGACAATGCATGGGGGTATCATAGGAGAAACAATATACTCTGTTATGTCCATGGTACTGCTCATGTCTATAGGTGACGGTTACCACTTTCCATCAGGTGAGCCGTCAGCTTGTTTACCATTCTAAGTTGTACAAAAAAAATCATAATTTTTGTCATAATTCTCTGGTACTGTACAATTATGTAAAAAAAAAACACACACTAGTAAAAGACCCTTGACCATTAAGTTCCCTTAGTCGCCTCTTACGAAACTCACGGGAAAGGAAGGGGGTTGCCTATTCTATGTTGGAACGACACGTCACTGTTTCAAGGATTGTTAATAATGAGCTCCAACAGACTTATTACTAGCAATATACCCAAACAGGTCGCCCTCCACGCGGTTCCCCCTGGAAACCATTGTGATTAATTTTTGATGAATTGAAAACGATGGGCTAACTGACCTGCTTCATCTTCACCTATCATCCCTCACTGGTGCCCCGCCAGCGTATCCCGATAGCGCAGGCGGATTTACTATTCCATTTTCATCCATTAAAAAAAACCATATAAATAGGTTATATGATTATTATTTTGGGGGGAAAGGGATTGTTAGTAATGGAGACTGAGAACCCTATTGCTAGCAATATACCCAACCAGATCGACCTCCTCGCGGTTCCCCCTGGAAACTATCATGGTTGATTCCTGATGAATTCATCATAATGGGCTAACTGGCCTGTTTTCATTCTCATCTATCACCTTTCACTGGTGCTCCGCCAGCGTATCCCATTAGCGCTGGCGGGGTTACCATACCATTTTCACCCAACAAAAAAAAAATAGGTTATATGTATTTTTTATATGATAAATTGATTGGGATGAAATGGGATACCATTTATTCGTATTATATTTTGCCTTATTCATATTGTTAATTTCGACTATAAGTAATATATTGCTATTGTCAACAGGTGAGCGGCCTCAAATTCGAAACCCAACTGCGTACACTTAACCAATTCCCGGAAACACTGCTAGGAGACCCAACCAGGAGAATACGATATTTTGATCCATTGCGGTAAGTGTAGAATAGTATTGAAATACTCTTAATTCAAATACACTTGTTTATAAGCTCTTTTAAATAGACATTTTTTATGATTCTATTGTTGAGTCCCGAATGTTATCTGTTGAGAGGAACCCGCGACAAACTCAACTGTTTCTCTTTTTAAATTGTAATAATAATATCCCTGCCCCACTGAAGGGGAACAGATTGTTAGTAATATGGACTATCAGTCCTATTGCTAGCAATATACCCTGTCAGATCGACCTCCTCGTGGCCCCCCCTAGAAACTATCATGCTGAATTCCAGGTGTATATATCACTATGAGCTAACTGACCTGCCTTTTCATTCTCACTTATCATCCTTTACTGTTGCCCCGCCAGCGTATACCGTTAGCGCAGGCGAGGTTACCGTTCCATTATCATCTATTAAAAAAAAACCTGCCCCACTAGAGAAAGTACAAACGATTCTAGCAATAGAATCCCTTGGGTCAGCGGTCATATTAGAAAGAACAAGACAGCGATATCGCCATCGCATTCTATCAGATGGACTCGCTGGCGATAATGATTCTATACGTAGAATTGTTTATACATTGTCTATGGGCTCTGGAAAGTCTGTTGGAAACTCCAACAAAAATTAATACTGGCATAAAAACTTTTTATTATATTTTTTTATTTCAAATAAAGAATAAATAAAATTGTCATAAAAATGGAGAATAAAAAATTGTATTCCTAATTAACTTTGGCCTTTTATATATTAAATCCATGTATCTATATTGAGTACAATATAAATTTGGTCCATTTCGAGCATCGTAAGGCAAGAAACAGCGAATTACAAAAAATCTCAGTTCAATATATGTGGATACGAGAAGCGCCATTGTTTCAAGAATACAACATATATGAAATCTATTCTCCTCCGTGCGTTCGACAGGCGATTGCAATTTTGTTGAAGTACAAGTAAATATTATATATTTCTCCGAGTGGTAACTACAATTTCTTTAGTTGTCAATTAAGAGATTTATATAGACGACGACAAACGATTATCTCAGTTGGCCTGCAAGAAAAATATACATCGAACAACGGCAAATTCATTCATGACACGAGGTGGGAACTACGATTTTTATATTCAATAAATACATTTGAACATTTTCCATAACATCTACATATTTTAATTTTGTGGCAATCGTCGTGCAATGGCCACTGATAGTGAAACTTCACTACGCGCCTCGCGAGGCTATGTTAAAGGGGCGATTACTCGTCTTCACAGTTTTGTTAGCAACGAGTCTGAATTAGAAGAAAGTACCTTACAGGCCCTTACAACGCGTAAAGAAAGACTGCTCACAGCCTTCCGTGAATATGAAGGATTTAATATGCGGATTCTTTCAATGCGACCAGATGACGAGGACGTAGCAGCTGTTGAAGATAAATATCTATATACTCTTACCGTTCTTAATGAAGTGATTAGCCGTAAGACTTATAGTGTAGAGGACTCTAAAGGTCATGTTAGTACTATTGCACGATCAAAAACTAAGTTGCCCGCGATTCAAATGTCCATATTTTCTGGTAATTATGTTAAATATGTAGCGTTTCAATCATTGTTTACTTCATTGATTCATAATGACTTAACACTAGATAATGTTCAGAAGTTGTATTATCTTAGGTCTTATTTAAAAAACGAACCGTATGATCTTATTAAGAACTTACCATTAACAGCCAGTAGCTATGATCAAGCTAGACAATTATTAGACGAGAGATATAACAATAGGTATCGTATTGTAAATGAACATATTGGTCAATTACTAGACTTACCTGCGCTTGTCAAATCAACCCCTGAAAACATTCGAGATTTTGTAGCGAGTCTTAAGCAGACTTTGGCTGCTCTGCAAAACTTAGATGTGAAGGTTGAAACTTGGGATCCAATAATTGTTTGTATTCTTAATCGTAAGTTAGATACATACACGGCTCGGTCGTATCAAATGGAAAAAGATACTGCCGAGGAACACAGCGTCAAGCACTTCATCGAGTATCTTGAGAAGAGGGCACTTGCATTGGAGAACGCTGCGCCGTCAACTGCGATGCCATCTACCAAGGCCAAGGGTTTATCAGTCAACGTAGCGGCTGCTGGTGAGAAAGTGGTGACGTGTCATTACTGTAAGTCTAACAATCATAAATTATTTTCCTGTAATACATTCAAATTAATAACTTCTGTGGAACGCTATAAATTCTGTAAAGACAATAAGTTATGTCTGATTTGTTTGAAGAAGCACAATGGAAAATGCAAATTTCATTTCAAATGCGATCAGTGCAAAAAGGCACACAACTCACTAGTTCATCATGACGAATGTGACGAAGGTCCTGTTTCCTTATTATCCAAGGGCCACGATTCTAAGGTTTTGCTTCCCACAGTACAAGTGAAATTATTCACAAAGGATAAAAAGACGATAATAGTGAAGGCGATTTTAGATACAGGTTCACAAGCCTCCCTCGCTACGAGCAAGTTAATCCAACAATTGGGTTTAACTCCAACACCCAACAATACAAATATAATAGGTGTAGGCAATGCTCAGAATAATACAAGATATTGTATTCCATTAAACATACACTCTGTTAATTCTTCTTTTAATATGACTGCCAATTTTTATGTAGTCGAAAAAATTACCTGCAAGCATCCACAAACAAAACTTGATATTCGGCAATTGAAGTTACCTCCCAATATAGTGTTGGCAGACTATCAATTTAATGTTCCATCTGAAATAAATCTCTTAATGGGTGCTGACATATTTTTCCATGTGATAATGCCCAATGAGCCTGAGCGACCGTGGTCTCGAAATCTGCACCGGCCGCTACCTAGTCAAGATGACATTACGCCCTGCATTATCAATACACGTTTTAGATATATTATTGGTGGTTCAATGCTTGAATATCAGCAAGCTTCAAAACAGGTAACATCACTATTATGTATTAAATGCGATCCTGAAATCAATGCTAATATCAAATTATTTTGGGAAGCTGAGAGTATACCACAAATCTTTTCTGAGAATCAAGGTGAACAAGAGTTAGCTGAAACTATCTTTCAGAATTCTGTAGAATTGATTGATAATAGATTCCAGGTGAATTTACCTCTTAAAGTCGAGGATAATGAAATTCATAATTATTTGGGCAATTCTTTTGTTTTAGCTTGGTATCGATTTTTAAGTTTGGAAAGGCGTTTACAAAATAATATTAATCTATTGTCAGAATATAATAAATTTATTCATGAATATGTAGAGCTAGGTCATGGCGATTTTATTAATTTTGATTTCTATGATTTTGACAAAGATGCTGTATATTTTTTACCGCATCATGCGGTCATTAATAAATCGAGTAAAACTACTCGCACAAGAGTCGTTTTTGATGCCTCAATGAAGACGGATAAAAAGGTTTCATTAAACGATTTATTACTGAATGGGCCTTCAGTCTAGAAAGAGCTTTTTGATGTAATTTTATTGTTCCGAATTGGTAAATATACGTTTTCCACGGATATAAGGCGTATGTTTAGGAATATTCTGGTGAATCCCAAACACAGGGCTCTTCAAAATATTCTTTGGCGAAATAATCCTGATGAGGCAATAAAATGTATACGTTTAAATACTGTTACGTACGGTATGAAAAGTTCAGGTTATTTATCAACTCGTTGTTTACTCGAACTTACTAAACTATTTAGTCAAGAATTTCCTATAGCTTCATTTATATTGCGAAACTGTACTTATGTCGATGATATCCTCTATTCGTCATCAGATCTTAGTGAAATAAAAGAAGCTAAGCAACAACTACAATCTTTGCTACAAAAAGGAAGTTTTGAAACACATAAATGGTCAGCTAATGATCCAGAAATTTTGTCTGATATTCCAATTAGTAAACAACATTTTGACGAGCTAGAGTTGCAAAAGGATAATTATAGCATGAAAGTATTAGGTTTAAATCTAGATGTAAAGAATGATTGGTTTAATATCACATGCCCAGAAACTATTGATATAAAATCGGTAACAAAAAAGTCAATTTTAAGCTGTATTGCTAAGTTTTATGATCCACTTGGCTTTGTGTGTCCAATTATAGTAAAGGCTAAGATTATTATGCAGAAACTGTGGGCTGAAGGTATTAGTTGGGATGCTTCTCCCTCCGATCATGTTAAAGAAGAATGGTTGTTTTTTATTGACGGTCTTAAGGCAATGGAACCTATTCATATTAATAGAAATATACCAATTCCATCAAGTTCTAAGGCTGTGCAATTGATCGGCTTTGCTGATGCCTCAAGTAAAATAGGCTACGGATGCTGTGTATATCTTAGAACGGTAGACTCTGATTGTAATGTGCGCATGTTTCTTTTATGTGCGAAGTCCAGAATTAATTCGTTTTCGAAACCAATAACGATACCACGGTTAGAGTTGAATGCGGCCTTATTGCTATCAAGTCTAGTACGGAGGACATATGAAACGTTACAGCTCAAACTTTCAATTGATAGTGTTTATCTCTTTACCGATTCTAAGATTGTTTTAGGTTGGTTTAATACTGATATTTTTAATTTACAAGCATATGTGGCTAACCGAGTAAAAGTGATTACAGAAAAGACTGTACAATTTCAATGGAATTATGTTAACACAAAAGAAAATCCAACCGATTTAATAAGTAGAGGTATAGATCCAAAAGAATTACCATCTTGCTCTCTATGGTGGGACGGACCAGACTTTCTAAAAGACAATAGGTACAATTTTACAAACAAGGCTTCCTTACCTATTGACTTACCTGAATTGAAGAATTCTGGTGCGGCTGTAGATTCCTCTAAGGTAGTATCCCTCTCAACACAAATAAAGAGTGATATCTATCAGCTTATAGATAAGTACTCGGATATAAATAAAATGATCAGGGTGTTAGCTTACATATTAAGATTTTGTCATAATCTTAAAAATAAAAATGATCAGATTAAATGTAATTATTTAACTACAAAGGACTTGAAATAAAATCGTTGACTGAAAGCAAAGATGTAGAGGGTATTTTAAAACCTCTTCATATTTTCCTGGATAAGCACGGTTTAATAAGGGTAGGTGGAAGGCTTCATAATGCTGAAATATCTTATAATCAAAAACATCCTATTGTTTTACCGAAGCAATCGAGAATAACCGAACTTATAATTCAGAATGAACATATTAGATTATTTCATGCAGGTCCGAAGTTGCTCCTTTCGAGTCTTAATCAAAGGTACTGGCTGATTAATGGCATGCGACAAGTTAAGAAAATAACTTATAGATGTCTTGTTTGCTTTAAATTGAAGGCAGAGGCGGCAAAGCAACTGATGGGTTCGCTACCATATCAACGTGTTACTGCCTGTAGGCCTTTCCAGACCGTTGGCGTAGATTTTGCCGGTCCACTTCGAGTTAAGAATTCTAGAGTCAGACGTGCAATCGAAACTAAAGGTTATATATGTGTATTTGTCTGTTTCGTAACGAAGGCGGTTCATCTTGAACTAGCTTCAGATTTAAGCACCGAAACCTTTCTCGCCTGTTTTAAAAGGTTCATTTCGAGACGTGGCCTTCTCAGTGAAAATTTCGCTGATAATGGAGGTGCTTTCAAGGGTGCGGCGAACCAATTTGTTGAACTTTACCGGCTCCAAGCTTCCAAGGGTCATCAAATGCGAATACAAGCGTATGCAGCGCAGCAAGGGGTGAAATTTCACTTCATACCCAGTTATTCACCTACTTTTGCTGGCCTGGCAGAAGCTGCTGTCAAGAGTACCAAATTTCATTTAAAAAGGATTTTACAAAAGCTTTTGATAACATATGAGCAATTGTACACAATTTTAGTTCAGATAGAGGGTGTCTTAAATTCAAGGCCTATTTTACCTATGAGTTCTGATATAACGGATTTTAGTTATCTAACTCCCGGTCATTTCTTGACTGGTAATGCTATTGTAGCTTATCCTGAAAATGATGTATCAGATTTACCTATTAATAGACTAAGTTTTTGGAAACAATGTGAACATTTAAAACAATGTTTTTGGAAAATATGGCATAAGTACTATTTAAATGCTTTGCAGTTTAGATCCAAATGGCAAAAGAGTTACCCTAATGTAACAGTAGGAATGTTGGTGATACTCAAGGACCCAAACAATCCTCCTTTGCACTGGCCTATGGCTAGAATAAGTAAGGTTTTTCCAGGTAGAGATGGGAAGGTTAGAGCTTTCGAAGTTGTAACACCTAATGGTAAAACTTATAAACGTTCCTTATCTGGTATATGTATTCTTCCTATAAATGATGCCTAGATTTAATTATTATTTGCTCATTTTAAACTGCTTTCTTTTTCTTCTTCTTTTAATGTATAACGATAAAGAGAAGTAAGAATATGTTATTTGTAATTGTTTAGTTATTTATACAATTTGTTATTGTTATACTTATTGTAATGTAATTGGGCATCACCCAAAATATTAGATTTACTAATATAACCATCAACTGTAATATTTTTATGGTTCTGTTATGTTTATGCAAGTTGTATTAGTATGAAGTAAAGACATTTTCTGTTATATGTTATATATTGTGCAGCACATGTTACTGTTCTGGTAATTTATCCACTAATAAACCGCTGGTGTGGCGAGCATGTTGGAAACTCCAACAAAAATTAATACTGGCATAAAAACTTTTTATTATATTTTTTTATTTCAAATAAAGAATAAATAAAATTGTCATAAAAATGGAGAATAAAAAATTGTATTCCTAATTAACTTTGGCCTTTTATATATTAAATCCATGTATCTATATTGAGTACAATACAAGTCTACTCAGCGTCATCTAGTGTTTGCATGGCTGTGTTTTTGTTGCATTTCGGTTTGAAGTATGGGATATGCCGTGAATTTACAGAGTACAGAGAAATAACACCTAAGTCCTCAGGAATGGCAACGCATGGGGGGTATCATGGGCGAAACAGTATACTCTATTATGTTCATGGTACTGTTCATGTCTATAGGCGACGGTTACCACTTTCCATCAGGTGGGCCGTCAGCTTGTTTGCCATTCTAAGTTGAGGACTCAGGTGTTATTCCTCTGTACCCAGTAAATTCACGCCATATCCCACCCTATATAATATATCTTGTTTGGAAAATTCACTTTATACCTTGAGAGATAAAAAACATCGCTACAAAAAACATAACAAAATTCCTATCAGTGATAGGAATTAGCAGCGAACTTTAAAAAGGGCGAGCACAAAAGTTCATGGAAAGGTCGCAACGTCACAGGTCGTTCTGATTGAATAAACCCGTCTTTTAATAATAATAATAATAATAATATCCAATCGTTTTGTCGGTGAACGGTCTCATCCCAACCAGTCTGGAACAACATCTCAGACGGTTGGGATTCCGAGGCGGCTCACTCCCGGGAAAGGTGCAGAGAGCGGTGTTCTTAGATACTGCCCGCATTGTACGCCGGTTTCTCTCCCTGGGGCCCTGAACTCCGGCCAACTGTGCTTCTACCGGGAGTTAGTTTGCCATCTCCTCTCCTTAAGAGGGGAGATGTGAATTTTCTAGACATTTAACAATAATAATATTAACAAAATAAATGTTTTATATAAAACAATCAAAGATAGAATTAGTTCTTGCTTTTTGTGACAAAATTTACGATTGTAATAAACTATATATAGAGAATCTTTTAGATTGTGACAAACATTCTGGCAATTTGCACTATGAAACGCGGTAACCTTCACCTACCAACATAAACATCGAACAATATACTGCGCCGCCCTTGTTTGCATTGCCATTTCTGAGTACCGAGACGTTAATGCACCGGCAGTTTCCCCCAAAAACCGAATATAACAATGCGTTCAAATTAATGTTTTATAAACAGGTAACGCCTGAATAATACGCATTCTATTTCATTGGAAGAACCATCAAGTTCAGTTACGTGTATTTTAGTCGAGAACGCTCAACTAGTTTCGGGACCATCCGGGACCTTTAGTCATAAGCAGCTGTGACTCAAGCGCAAGTCTGTTATTAAAATATAATGCGTACTCACTATATATTTAACAGTAAAAAACAAGAAATTACTAACAAATTGCAATAATATCAGTAATAGATTTTACGTAAATTCATGGATAAAAAATCCATGAATTTAACATCATTATCATCTCAGCTGTTGTCTGTCCACTGCTTAACATAGGCCTCTCCCATAAGGAGGGGTTTTCCAGTAGTTGCCACACTTGGCAGGCGAGTTGGCAACCGCTGTTACCTTTTGGTGACGTTTTATGCATCTTCGATTTGCAGCTTCCCATCTTTCAGTAGTACCGCCATAGAATGGGCCACCCCTTCCTTTCCCGTGGGTATCGAAAGAGGCGACTATGAGAACTTAACGGTCGTAGCATTGATAGCAGCGTCCCTCTTAAAACACCACCGACTAACTGCGATTACCAACCTGCGTGCCAAGCGTGGCAATTACTGGCAAAAACCCTCCAAACGCAGGGGCTATGTTCAGCAGTGGACACCTGATATGATAATAATGATTGTTATTTAGTAAGTAAGTAATACATTGCGTATTGTGCCACTTTAAAAAATGCCAACTAGATCCAAGCGAAACATGTATATCCCGCAGACTAAAACCTCGAGAGTAGATCATAATGGTTTTATTTAACAATTTTATTAAAAGCACTTTAAGTTCACATATTAAATAATAGAATATTATCTATTATTACTATTTGTGTGAGACACTGTTCGAATATAAATATTACATTGACCGAGTTCCCAAATGTTTTATAAACAAATCGGCATACATGTTTATTATTGTTACGATATCGTTTTATTTCTTAATCAAACAATTGATATGTGTTTCATTGTTGTTCCAGGAACGAATACTTCTTCGACAGAAACCGCCCATCTTTCGACGCAATTCTGTATTACTATCAAAGCGGGGGGCGCTTGCGCCGCCCCGTTAATGTACCACTGGACGTCTTCTCCGAAGAAATCAAATTCTACGAGCTTGGAGAACAGGCCACCAACAAATTTCGGTAAGGGCGTTCATCATACACATATCAGGCCTATGAATATATCCAATATGAACGATCAAATTTGATTTCAGGGAGGATGAGGGCTTCATCAAGGAGGAAGAGAAACCCCTGCCCTCCAACGAACGTCAGCGCAAAATCTGGCTGCTGTTCGAATACCCCGAGAGCTCCCAGGCTGCCCGCGTAGTCGCCATCATCTCCGTATTTGTCATCCTTCTTTCCATTGTCATCTTCTGCCTGGAAACCCTCCCGGAATTCAAACACTACAAGGTCTTCAACACCACCACCAACGGCACCAAGATCGAGGAAGACGAGGTTCCCGACATCACTGACCCGTTCTTCTTGATCGAGACACTCTGTATAATCTGGTTCACCTTCGAGCTGATAGTGCGATTTTTAGCTTGTCCGAACAAGTTCAATTTCTTTAGGGACGTGATGAATATTATAGACATAATAGCTATTATCCCTTACTTCATCACTCTGGCCACTGTAGTAGCAGAAGAAGAAGACACCTTGAATCTGCCTCGAGCCCCTGTGTCCCCGCAAGACAAGTCCACCAACCAAGCTATGAGTCTCGCTATTCTCCGCGTTATTCGTCTCGTGCGAGTCTTCCGTATCTTCAAGCTGTCTCGCCACTCCAAGGGTCTACAGATCCTTGGACGTACACTCAAAGCGTCAATGCGAGAACTTGGGCTTTTGATATTTTTCCTGTTCATCGGTAAGTGTCAAGCAAATTTTGATTACTTTTTATTTACTTTTTCACTGTTCAAAATATAGCAGGCATTTTGAGTTTTTACCATAAATATCAGTTCCAAATACGGGTAATAATAGGTTTGATGATTATATTATAATAGATACGTCTTATATTCAAGTACGCCTCTGAATAGTGGAAGGACGACGCTTTATATATTCATAAATACTAATGCTTCCTTGATATAAAGGCAGTGCTTTCTTGAATATCTATGGTCTGAAAAGACGAGACACGATGCGGTGGAGACAGCTATGCAGGCTCGGTACGGCGCGCGGACTTCGCCTGGCGGTGCAGTGCCGGCGCGGCGCGGGCCAGCCACGAGCTTGCGTGCACAATGTATTTTGTGTTCGCAGGAGTGGTCGTGTTCTCCAGTGCCGTTTTCTTTGCTGATAAAGATTGCCCCGATACAAATTTTTCCTCAATACCCGATGCGTTTTGGTGGGCTGTAATTACGATGACCACCGTCGGCTATGGAGACATGAGGTAAACCCGCGTCGCGCGACCTGACTCCTGCCCCCCTTGCCCGCTCGCAAACGCCGCTCCCAACGCCACTGTATGTCGCACTGTATTCTCCGTTGGTGTGTGCTTGTTCTTAAAGGTGTGGTGCTGTTTTCATCTGCGGTGTACTTCGCTGAGGCCGGAAGTGAGAACAGCTTCTTCAAATCCATACCTGATGCGTTTTGGTGGGCGGTCGTGACAATGACGACCGTAGGATACGGAGACATGACGTATGATACAGCGACTTCACCCTAAATCTCATCTTTGCCTTCTCGTCATTTCATTTTTATCCTACAACCCCACATTGGCATTTTAACACGTCTGTGATTTTCTTTCGCCACATCATGTAACTACATTTGCTTCAGTTTGATTTTTATCGTCGGTTCGCTTAGAACTTAACCGATCACTTCACTTTTTATTCACTTCTTTTGAAATATTGCACGTTTAAGAACGTCCCTTAATGTCTTGTTATTATTTTACAGTCCTTTTGTCATCATATCTTCCTGAACTTTTACAATTTTACATGGAAGCGTAGCTGTAAAATTATCCATTGCACTCATAAAATATTAACGTGCTCGTATATACCAAGTGGTCTGTCGTCGGTGTGACAATCGCCCCTCCCAAAGCGTATTCTATGAGAGAGCTTTCATTGTGATACCAATACACTTCAACTCTAGTGGTGTTTGTGACGAACGAAACGAAAGTGTACCTAGCCAGAACACCAGGGACTGAGTTGGAGTGAAACCTGTTGATGAATCCCACGTCCAAAGAATGTATACTCCTCTGTAACGCTTTCGCTAACATATATGTATACCTTATACCGTTTACCTACCCGTATTGATGTTGTGTTTGTTACAAATGATGTTGACATTATTAGCTCATCGAAAATGGTGACCATTCTCAATTGTGCGCATACGTTGCCGTCACAATTTTTCTTCATAGAGGGCATTACAATTATTTTGCTTGTTCACCCCATATAGTACTTGTTCCGACTATAATTTTGTCTACGAGTATCTCTCTCTATCTAATTTCTTTCAAATGCCCAGCAACCTTTCTCTTCCCACTAGTCCCAATGGTAAATTTTACACCTGACTGCTACTATGTAAAATTGTTGTTCAGATATGTCATGCTTGAGTTTGTCATGGCTTCCCGTCGTAGCTTTCACACCATTTTCGATAGAGGTACTATGAGTACATGTGTCTGAATGTTAGACGTTAAATATCAGCTGCATGACCGAAAACTGATTGAGTAGGTAAGACAGAACACCTGTGATTGTGTTGATGTTTTAGAATCCTTTTTAGTGCCCTTATTTGTTTTACTTGTCATGTGTATTGTTTATTTTTAAATTATTTTTTAAAACTCTTAAACCACATTCAACATCGTGCGGAACTTGTTAATGAAAAATGATTTGTACATCTGTTCAATTTTTGATAAAGCTTCAGCGTGAGACTCCGTTGGTGTGATCGCGTTTAACTTTTTGCTGCGAAACGTTTGTTTATTAATAAATAATTCCGTGTCCAAATATTAGTTTGACAGTCAGAACAGCGAAAAGTTTGACGAAGTGTCACACGATGGAGTTCACAAAATGTATAAAGTCAAAAAAAGAATAGCTGTACAATGCATTTTTGTTAACTGTTTTTAGACTATTGTTGAATGTCACAGCTGGCGGATAAACACTGCAAAGCGATAAATTAAAAATGTTACAGTACTCCTGTAACACGCTGGCGAGTATGGAAGATGATGTATGAAATTGTTGCTTGCGGTCTACCCAAGTGTTGCTTTGCGAATGGTCTGAATATTTGAAGTCAATGGAAAACGTAAAATGATACCACCATTCATTTTACTTTTTTTTCCTTATCATTACATTTTATTTTAGTAGTGTCATTTGTTGCCTTGTGTAGTAGTTCCGTCGACAGGGTTCGTATATATCAAGTAATTGAACGCATGTATACCTATTATTGTTTATTAACATCGAGGTAAAGTTTTTAATCTCGTAATTAATTACAAATCTAATTTATCCAACCTGTCATTCACAAAGATTAACGTGTACCATTTTAATATAGACCTGTTGGAGTTTGGGGCAAGATTGTCGGTTCGCTTTGTGCTATTGCCGGTGTGCTCACCATTGCTCTGCCGGTACCCGTCATCGTGTCCAACTTCAATTACTTCTACCATCGCGAGACCGACCAAGAGGAGATGCAGTCGCAGAACTTCAACCACGTCACCAGCTGCCCGTACCTGCCCGGGACCATGGGCGAGCCGTACTTGCGTGAGTCTACTTACATTTATTACATTTCCATTATTGTTATCATCAAATAGCCTTCATACGTGTTCCAACGTACTCTTTATTAAGCACATATTCATCGTTCATTGCAGTGAGTGATCATGTTCGCGTTACATGTGGATCGTCACTCGAATTTTAGCCGCATGACACAGCTTCCTCTTTGATTTGGATCGCATGTTTTGTTTTTTTTTATTTCATTTTATTTGTTTCTTTTATGTTATTTTCGATAATTTCAGGTGGGAAGGACGATGAGAAGGACGAAGTGTGCAGTGATCAATGACTATACGATAGTGTACTTTCCCCCCCTCTTTCGTTACGGACTAAATACGATCGGTAGAGACGATTTTTGTGATACTACTCAGTAAGAGCAATAGTGTAGTGCTAATGTAAATATTGTTATAAGTGATGTAAAGATATTACGATAATAAATTTGTTATTTATTTTTCATTTTAATTATATTTGAGTGGTTATGTTTATTTGTTAGCACGTGGACACAGTTAATGATATTCGACATGATTGAACTATATTATTTGTGAGTTTTGCCGTTCCATTATTATTACATATAGCTCATTTTTATTGGCGATGTAGTATTGAATTCTCATCATTACTTTGATTGAAAATACAAAAAAAAAAATCTTATTGGTTTCAAATTATTTGCTTTATTTACTACATATAGGAGCATAATGAGTGTTCGGACACGAATTGGGAAATTTGTATTGTTTGTTTATTATAAAATTGGTAACGATTGATAAATATGAAATATTGGTTGCGTACATTTTCGAATGTCAACAGTAAAATGCTATCTGTGCTAAATCCATCGGTATACTCATTCAAGTCATATTTCAAATTAATCATATTCCGAGGTAGAATCAAAATCAGTACCATCCTTGTTGTAAGCCACTTGAGAAACTGAACATTTTTCCCATACAACATTTTTCGAACTACGCCCGTCCCTTCGCTTATTTACAAAACCAAAGTTAATTCTGTTACTTTACGAGTACTTCTCAGTATTTTCACACACGTGCAATTTAAAATTAATTATTTCTAAATATTTACTTACGCGTCAATCATTATAATAAGGTGTAATATGTTGTAGTCGAAGAGTTGCCGTTTAGAGATGCTTTTCTATAATCCGACTTCATTCAAATCTTACCACATATACCGACTCTATTGATATACACTGCATATTGTACTGTGCGCTTTACGATATTATAATATTAAAAAAAATTGATTTAAAGCACTTAAAACTATTATTTTCATATTTATTTTAATTATTCTTTGTTTATAAGTTTATTAAAGCACATTACCCACCGTTATTACATGGACAGAAAGTAAGTTTTTATTTTGTGAATGTAAATTATTTTTTTTTTTGTAGCTTTTTATGCTTCTATGCTTATTTTTAGATTGAATACTAACTATAAGTGCTCAGGACATTTATAGTTGTGTGATGTTGAGTAGATTGCTATACAACTAAAATAGAAATTTGGTATTAAATAAATCCCTGTAGATTATGCCCAATATTGTATTAAGACTGGCTGGTAACACATTTATTTCTGCCCGGAAAAAAAAAACACATTTTACACTATGCCTGTATACTATATTCTTAATTTAAAACTGTTACATTCTTAATTTAAAACGATTAAAACACACCCATGAACTACAGTAATAACATTATTGATTTATCGCATTTAGTATTAAATAGGACTTACCTCTGGAGAGATAAACGGTTGCTTCAACCATCACAAATTTAATAAACGATCAACACGACAGTTGACTCGGTCGTTTGTAGACATAATTATTAAAATAGTTTCCCAACTGGCGATGTGAAACTGTTTCATGCACACACAAAAAAGAGCTTAAACTCTAATTTAATAGATTTAAAAGTCGCTTTACAATCTTCAAGATTAATGATACGGTAGTTTCCTTAAAAATACGACAATAAATAAATAATATACCGTTTTTCTAGCTCGATGACACTATGCTATTTTTACCATTCAAATTGTTATTATTATCAGTTCTATGTGATGATTGTATAAATGCCTCTTTCCAAGTTCTGACGTACGAGGTAATCGATGAAATTATGAACATGGTTATAATTTAAATAGATATCGCCGCAGCATGTATTTTTCGTGTTCGTTTTCGACACTGAAATATTTATTACCCTGTATTTTTTTTTTAACTTCAGCAAAATATTCAAATGCTACATGTATATGAAATGTTAACTGAAAACATTTATAGATTTACAGGAATAATATTACACACAATAATTTTAGAAGCGGAAGGGTACCTCTGTCCCATTCGTGTTTCAACCGTGAAACAGTTATGTTTGTATGGCTGTGTTTCGGTTTGAAGGGTGGGATATGGCGTGAATTTACTGGGTACAGAAGAATAACACCTCAGGAATGGCAACGCATGGGGGATATCATGGACAAAACAGTATACTCTGTTATGTCCATGGTACTGCTCATGTCTAGTCTAGGCGACGGTTACCACTTTCCATCATTCATCAAACCTATTTCAGCTATTAGAGTATTGTGTCACTTTCTTTCCAATTGGAAACTTAGCGCAATAGATAAAGACAAAATACTTCAATGGAAAAAAATAGATTTATGTGGCGTTTGGTGTTTTTATGAACAAAGGGGTAAAACGTTATTCGTGCAATAGTACGAGTATTATTATTGTCAGTGAAATGTTTGAATGCGATAACAAGAAAGTGTTTGAAAATTTTCCAACGTATAAAATATGATTGAGGTGCGTACGGTACGCATTAATTTTTCAAATAGTGAAAATTATTAAATATTTAATTATTTATAAAAAAATATAATAGTTTTGACGTTGCCATACTTTGATAAGATAGATAGATACTTTTTATTATTCCCTCCATAAGATTACAATCTCTCTTCGTCCTCTTCATTACTGAAGGTCGTGTCCTTGAAAGGTGTCTGTTGCCTCTCTTATGATGTTATTCCATTTTACACGGTCTTCAGCTTCTCGCAGCTGCCTTCTCGCAGCTGATTGCAGCTGCCCTGCGAGAAGCTGAAGATTACAGTAGTAAACTTATTATAAATACAAACAATACAAGAAAATATTACACTGTGAAAACAATGGGCGGCCTTATCGCTAAGAGCGATCTCTTCCAGGCAATCTTTGGATGGAGAGGAGTAATTATAAACAGTTTGACTGGAGGCACGAAACTCTGTTCGTTATTTTAAATACTATCAATATAGAAATATATATATTGAACTTCAGTAGGAACGCTCTTAAATTATTTGGGAGTAAATGAGATAGTGTCTTCGCTGGATTGGGTTCTTTTATTTATTTATTTATTCGTTATTGTACACAAAAAATTACAAATATATAATATATATAAAATAAAGATGTACAACAGTCGAGCTTAACTCTGTAAGAGTTCTCTTCCAGTAAACCCTTTTGGATTATCAATACACACGGCTGCTGTTTGTATGTTTCGTACACCGAATTGCCATTATAATTGTTTTAAAATACCTATGCAGTTGACTATCAACTCTATGTAGTTGTGTTAAGAGACAAATATAATAATAATAATAATATTTATTTATTTATAGATTACAAAGATCCATTCTCGTTAGTAACAATTGACTTAAACTATGTTAGTAGAAAAAAAAATACAAAATTTATTTTATGGCCCCTATAATAATTTTGACCCACAATGAGAGGATCGGGCTATCGTATTTATTACACAATGCCCTCAGAATGCTGTTACTGATATTAATTGATTATCGATTCGGATTGAACATTTTAAATTTCACAGGTGTCAAGTGTAATACGATGATAAACTGCACTTCATGTAAACTGTAATTAAGTTATAAATCAACAAGTGCACAATATATTGTGTATTAACACGGCGTCGTGGCAATGGGCCAGACTGTTAAGAATTCGGGGATTTCGAAACTAAATAGCTGTTTATTTACGTGGAACAATTTGTCGGATGAAAATGGAATGGCAACCACGCCCGTGTTATTGATTGACGTTGACGGGGTACCGTTGAGGGGATGAGGTCAGATTGGTTGACCCGTCGTAGCGAATTCATCAAATGAGGAATTCATCTCCGCTAATTACAGAAAAAAAAATGGCTGTAAAGTCCTAGCATAAAATAAGTCACCCTTTCTTAGGGGAAAAGGAATTGTTAGTAATGAGATTTAACAGCCTCGTTGCTAGCAATAAGGTGCTATCAGGTTGACCACCATGCGGTTCCCCTGGAAACCAATGTGGTTAATTCTTGTTCAATTGGTCACTATGGGCCATCTGACCTGCCTTCATCCTCACCTGTCACCCTTCACTGGTAGCGTAACGCCTAGGCAGTATATATATATATATATATATATATATATATATATATATATATATATATATATATATATATATATATATATATATACTGCCGATAGCGCAGGCGGGGTTACCATTCTATCTTCACCCATTAAAAAAAGCCACCCCTTTCTTTCCCGTGGGTGTCGTAAGAGGCGACTAAGGAAGGTCGAGAGATTGGCAGCAGCGTCCCTTTTAAAATATCTCTAAAGCCTAACTGCGGTTGTCAATCCACCTGGCAAGCGTGGCAACTACTGGCAAAACCCCTAAGGGAAGGTTTATGTTCAGCAGTGGACGGTTAAAAGCTGATATCGTCACAGTCGTAGAATACTGACGGATCTTTATATGTAATCTTTGTCAGATCCGTCAGTATTCTACGACTGTGACGATATGATGACGATTAATCAGACTGCAAGTAACATTGATAGAATAAAACATAAATTATTCCAAAATATATAATCAAAAAGGTATAATTAAAATTTTTTTTTAAGAGCCAATCAAGAATTAATATTAACAATATTAATTTAATTTTATAAATCATTTTAATTTATTTAAATAAAACTATTTCACAAAACAAAGTTGTATTATCTTAACTTACATATCTATGTATTTGTGCCCCAAATTGGTATATTAATAAACATAATTTATTAACAAGATTTTAAACTGATTTCACCTAAATCGGGCTTAATCAAGAGTCACTCAATATTGGCAATTAAATATCACTTTATTTGGTAACTATAAAATAATAATATAATTAGTAAATCTAATATATAAAATTCTCGTGTCGCGGTGTTCGTTACCAAACTCCTACGAAACGGCTTTACCGATTTTTATGAAATTTTGTGTCCATATCGGGTAGGTCTGAGAATCGGCCAACATCTATTTTTCATACCCCTCAATGATAAGGGTGACCCATCCCTAAATATATATTTTTTTATTTTTATGAAATTTTTTTATTTTTTATTTTATTACGACTAAGCATTGAAAAATACATACAGCTTCAAATTTTTACCCTTTTACGATCAACCCCTGTTTTTTGATAGCGATTTTTATATACCGCAATAGCGTATGACGGCAATCGAATATAATAATTGTAGTAGGATAAATTTTCATGTATAGTAATCGAAATATATATATATATATATATATATATATATATATATATATATATATATATATATATATATATATATATATATATATATATATATATATAGTTAGTAAAACAACGTTTGCCGAGTCAGCTAGTATATATAATAATAATATTCACGTGTAGTCCCGGCATAGAATAAGCCACCCCTGCCTTTCCCATGGATGACATAAGAGGTGACTCAGGGCGGGCGAGAGATGGGCAGCAGCGTCCATCTTAGAACATCTCCAAAGCCATGCGGCTGCCAATCCGCCTGCCGAGCATGGTAACTACTGGCATAATTCCCTCTAGGAGGAGACTTATGCTTAGCAGCTTGACAGTTTAAAGCTGATGTGATAAAATAATATAATATTTACAGAGTTTATTACTCTCTCGGCATCATATTTTGTTACATTTACAGTGAGTTTTTATCCGATCCATAAAATAGTACTAGCATTATTTACAAATTACACGTTTAATATTACCAAAAATTTTATACAATAACATTGAATAAATAACATAAAAAATTATTAATTTTTGGGCATAATCTGGTCGACAAGGTCCATTGCAAAATTTTAATGTTCACAAAGAAACGCAATCACACAGTTTTTTTTTTTATGTATACAACTTAGAATGGCAAACAAGCTGACGGCCCACCTGATGGAAAGTGGTAACCGTCGCCTATAGACATGAGTAGTACCATGGACATAACAGAGTATACTGTTTCGCCCATGATACCCCGCATGCGTTGCCATTCCTGAGGTCTCATGTGTTATTCCTCTGTACCCTGTAAATTCACGCCATATCCCACCCTTTAAACCGAAACACAGCCATGCAAACACAACTGCTTCACGGTAGAAACACGAATAGGACAAAAGTACCCAAGCAATCGACTTTTGTACAAAGTCTCCCTCTGGCAACAATTTAATAATTTATATTGATTTTTACAAAAAATGAGGTTAAGTCCCCCCGTCATGTTCAAAATAATATTGGTCAAACACTGACGAGAAGCGTAAGTTTGCAAAAAGATTATCAAAATCAATTCAGGATTAACAGAAAAGTTTTCTTATATATAATATACACACAAAAAAAAGGGATTAAAAACTTTTTGAAGTATCCCTTTCGCGAGCGACAATGCCAGACAAAAGGCATCGAAACTTTTAACAACTGCTTTTTTCGCCGGGGGTCAAGATTTATCGTATTATATTGCATTCAACACAATAGATTTTATTTTATTTTTTTAATGGGTGATAATGGAATGGTAACCTCATCCGCGCTATCGGTATACACAGGCGGGACACCAGTGAAGAATGATAGGTGAGGATGAAGCAGATCAGTTAGCCCATCGTGACGAATTTAACATGATGAATGAATTTTTCACGATGGTTTCTAGGGATAACCGCGTGGAGAGCGACCTAATAGGGCATATTGCTAGCAATGAGGCTGTCAAACTTAATTGCTAACAACCCCTTTCCACCAACACAATAGGTTAGATTATCGCTTATAAATTGCCTTTTGTTATAATTGTGTACAATTTTTTTAATGCTTCTTTTATTTTCGATACTGTAGATGCTTTGATTGAATCCTTAGCTTGTTTAGACTTCCTAGTAAATTAAAATAATATTAACTATTAAATTAAACATACTATTTGAATATTGTATATACAAAACTATTACTGCGAGTAATTCATAAAATTTATTAAAACAACTAATTTTACTATAGTAGTTGACATGTACAAAGTATTTAAGTATTTAAGATGTTTGGACAAATGTTGAGAATTGTGTAATAGTTTCAGGGCCGATTCAGAAGAAGTCCTCCATGAGCGATGATTCGTCCTCCGATATGATGGAACTGGACGAGAATGCGCTGGTGCCCGACCCTAACTTGGAGCAGAACCTGCGCTGTCTCAAGGAGGAAGAGAAGGTGCTGCTAGAGCAGCAAGCTGCCATGGAAGCCGGCAATGTGGATGACATCGCCGCGCTCGAACACCAGGACCTACTGCGTCTTAATCAGGTTCGCAACATACAATTCTATTCTCAGATCATTGGGTTCTATTTTTGATTGAGGATCCAAATTATAGTACTTGGATTTTTAAGTTTCCAAGGACAGGACGATGAAAGACCTTCACGTATTTATCTTATCCTTGCAATAAGTTCTTACTTTTGTAATTAGTTTTAACAGTCCTTTAACGGCTCCGCTATCGTCTTGAAATTTCGATTACAAGCAGTATTTGGAGTGAACGATATAAGCTACTTTCGATCCTGATCACTAATTCCATTTATTAATCCAAGAACCTTTATCCCCCTTCGAGCTATCTCCAACTCATTGCCCCTTCAGCTCGTTGTCCTTAGGACTATATCAATCACTTCAGTTCTTCCTCATTCTGGTTTCTAACATGCAGTGAAACTCCAAATATAATCCTCTCCATAACTTGAAGAAAAACTCGTAGCTTCCTAATACAGCAGAAAAGATCAATTTGGTTGTAATTGCATAGATATTTACCGACATATACACTGGTTAAAGATCTGTACTATTTATAATTACTACTCTTCATCCAAAAGTAACCTAGAATTTGTTTTTTTGCCATAAGTCCGGCCTTGTTTTTCTCTGTTTTTTTTTGTTATTATTATTTATTTCGTATTCCATTTCTTGTTTTCCTTGTTTTGCATATCTACCTATCCTATAATCGACTCCATTACCCAAAGGTAGCTTTGGAAGATTGCTTTCAGCAATAAGGTCACCTTATTGCACTCATACCAATTGTCTGTTTGTGCAATAACATTATTTATATCCAAATGTATGTGTGGTGCAAATAAAGTGTATTTTCTCTTACATCCTCGCCATCTACCTCCCCATCTTCCTCCTTATCCCCTTTCTTTTATTTTTGTATTTTTTTAGTTTCGCTACCTAATAATAATAAAGAACATCTATTTATCTTTAATTTTATAGTCCCGACATGGAATGGGCCACTTTTTCCTTTCCAATAGGTGTCGTAAGAGGCGACTAATGCAACTTAGTGGTCAAGGGATGTGTAGCAACATCTTTCTTAAAACATCACCAAATGCTAATTGCGGATACCAATTCGCCTGCCAAGCGTGGCAACTATTGCCAAATCCCCCCTGTATGGGGAGGCCTATGTTCAGTATGATTCATGATGATGATATATGGTTCATGACACCTTTAGATGTTTTGTTTTACATACATATATACATATCTGTCACGCCCGTCTCCTATTAGGGTAGGCAGAAACAATGGAACGCCAAATGCTTTGATTCAGGCCTCTTTCGCTTCTTCTACATTCATCAATTTTTTCATACACGCTCGCCTGTTACGGGTACTTTTAATTTGGCCCTTCTTTAGCACATCGCCTATTTTGTTTTGTTACTTTGTATATTTCATTATGGTGTTTGTGTGGGGCAGCTGAAGCAGCACGAGCTGCAGAAGCAGCAGCAGCTGCAGGCACAGCGCCTGCTGCGCGCTGAGGGCGGCCAGGCTCAGCCAGCACGCCGGGAGCCGGCTCGCCGCCGCGCCGCGTGCACCGTGCGCGTCAACAACCTTCACGCCGCCGAAGCTATTGAGACAGACGTCTGACCATTAGGTAAGTGACGTTTACCTGACGTGTATATATATAATAACAATATAAAATGTATATATCTTTCAACAACCTCCGAGGCAGGTTGCTCTACGCAAATAAAGTGTCGAATTCGATTCTCGGTTGGGGCCAATTTCAAAAAAGGATTTTTCTGTATTGATTCGTATCTGGTTTGTAACCCCAAATATTTGTTACCTTATTCCTAATATAATACAGATTATTCTAGCTTGAGGATCAAACGATTAATGAAATAGTATGGTAAAAGGAATATAGATACATGTAGTTATAAAGATGATTGAATCATTGTCATTATCATTCATTTAATAGAGTGTTCAATTAATGATCTAATAACAATAACAATACGATTTCAGCTTTCAAGTAAGAAAGGCCAAAATTTTGTTGTTTCACGTTTTGCGTACAAAAAATATAGTTTCGCTGGTTGAATACTTCAAAAGGATTCTAATAATTACGTTTTTATATTAATATAATTATAATAAATTCGTATATTTATTATATAAATATAAACATCAATGCTGAATACAAAGACACCTACTAATATAAAGTTTCTGTTATAATTACTAATCCAGTAAAGTATAGGCTTGATAAACTTTCTATCGTATGACGGACCCCCTCCCCCCCTATCACATAGATTGAACTACATTTTTTTTTATGGGTGAAAATGGAATGTAAACCCCGCTTGCGCTAACGGGATACGCTGGCGGAGCACCAGTGAAGGGTGATTGATGAGAATGAAAACAGGCCAGTTAGTCCATCATGATAAATTTATCAGGAATTAACCATGATAGTTTCCAGAGGGAACCGCGAGGAGGTCGACCTGGTTGGGTATATTGCTAGCAATGGGATTCTTAGTCTCCATTACTAACAATCCCTTTCCCCCCACTACATTTATTATAATGCACAAATAAATAAATGGCTTTATTAATTAATTTATTATAATAAACAATAACGTTTCTGTTCTATTGGAGTTTTTGGTTAAAAGAAAAATCTGTAATTGTTTTTATTAAATATGCTATTAAAGCAGTCAAAAGGAAACCTTACTTCGGATTTTGTCTATTGAAAAAAAAAAATAAACAGATTGTCTATTTCCATGTAAAAATTTTAAATTGAGCTATTCACATAAATCTGTCACATTACATCACTGATTTGACAATGTCAGTTTATATTAAATTTTCCAAATTTTCACTTTTTCCAAATCATTAGAATTTGGAAAAAGTGAAAGTTCAGTGATAATTTAATATGAATCATATATAATTTATAGCACGTTAATGTATTAGTAACACAGTAATAAATTATTTTAGCTCATTTACAAATTCGGCCCAATTTCCACTTACCGTAAAAATTAAAATGTGTTTTAAATTAAAAAAAAAAGGAACAGAGTCAAAACGGAATACGAATATCACTTATATCAGAACTTATGTCATGAAGAAACATTATGAAATAAATTTTCATTTTTGTGATTTCAAAATCAACTATTATTCCATACTATAATATTAGTGATCTGCCGTCTGACCTATTGAATACATTTATGTCAGTTAATGAAATAATGACATAAAATAGATGGCTACATGTTTCATATATTATTTTAACTTTACCAATAAAGATGTTTTAAACAGTTATTTTCCAATAGAATTTTACGAAACCGATGAACAAGCATGATGGATTCAGAAACAAGAATAACAAGCATGGTCCTCGCTAAACTTGTAAACAAACAAAAAAAGAAGGATAAAAAACAGTTTTTAGTACACCTACCAACTATTTTTCAAGACCAATATTTTGTAGGAAATTAAAAAAGAACTTAAAAAGCGTATTAAAATACCGACAACTAAATAGGATTTCTAGGATTTATTTTATTTTAATATTATTTGTATAATTCTTATATCAAAACATTATTTTGTATCGAAAAATTAATATTACCTTTGCAATTTTTAATTAAAAAAAGCTTCTACTTTTACCCCTTTATTGATAAAAACAGAAACCTTCTACAAATTTGCTTTATCTAATATACTTTCTTTCAAGTTGGGAATTTAGTGTAAAGGAAAGAGAAAAAAATCGTTGTGGCGCCCAGGAACTTGTTGAGCAGCGCGCGTGCCTCGCTGTCCTCCGTGCTGATAGGTTTAAAAGATTTTTAACCTTTTCTTTAGTACAATAAAATAGTAAAACAAGTGTTTCGAGAAATTAAATATTATGAACATTCAATTAAAGATTATAGACTAAAATTTATATAAAATATTTATACTCTAATACCCTGACAAGCATGCACTGAATTGACCAATTTTAACCATCCATTAGCACACCTACTTACTCATTTATGACGGTCATAGATATGGATTAAAATAGATGTCGCAACTGCATATATTCTTTGAAAATTGGCCCTCAATAGGCTCAAATAAATTTATTTCACTCCGATTAAGTATACAAGAGTTCAACAAATTTATTTTTATTATTTATTGAAATTCGGGTCTTTGGGTTTACAATATCAATAAGACTGACGTATCAAAATATCCGAAATCATCGAAGTCGAATAAAAAACCTGTCGATGGATACGTTGTCGCTATTAAATGTCGAGAACAAAACAGCAAAATTTTACGTCTTCTCCTTTATTATGGATTTAAGAGAGAAATCAATCTATCAATCAATCAATCTATCTATAACTATATTTTATCTACCAATAGAGTCATTTTCCTCTTATTATCAGATATATGGTTTTCTAACACCAAAACAAAATATAAGCAAATGAACACAATGAAATTGGATTATTTAAACGACAGTCTACTAATTAGAAGCAAGTTCAGAAATAGCCCTACGCGATATGAAATAATTGATTAAAAAAAAATATAGTTGGTATCTACGACAAGGAGAATTCGGGGAGATTTTTTATTGTTACATCATTAGTTTAACAGTGACACGCCTTTATATCCATTAAGGTACTGGCGTCATCTATCGCCGTTTATATCTGTGGTAATCATGACATGTTTGAAATCTTGCATTATTTATATAAGCTATTCACGATCCAGGTGTCAGGGTTGTTGGATTTAGTACGGGCATACTATAAAATACATTGTGGTCGCTTTGATCTGCCAAAAGGCGTTAAATCCGTATAGGTACACATGAAATCCTCTTACGTTAAGGTAAACGTAGGTACATGACATTAGAATTAATGATTTCACGAAATTTTGACTTGGTTTTACGTAATGTATTAAATAACATTTAATTATTATATAGTTGACTAAGTAGTACAACAAAAGGTGTTATACATTAATGATTATATTAAATGATTATAAAAAAAAAGTAGATCATACGTTTGAAATCTACTATTTATTGAATAATATAATAATATTGTTATTTGTTTATTAATCTAAGTAATTGTTATTTGTTTATTAATCTAAGTAATTGTTATTTGTTTATTTAGTTAAATAAAATTTATTAATTAATTTAAGTTAATTTTATATTTCATTTACATTTTACAATTACAATACAATCGTTATCAGTGTAATATGATATAATTATATTACAAAATACATTATGTATACATAACTGGCAGTACATATAAACTCAACTTTTGCTGGACTCATGTGAATTTACCATTGAGTTATTTAAGAATATGCATCATCATTTCATCATCATCATTTCCGCCATTACCCGTCCACTGTTGGACATAGGCCTCCCCCATAGACTGCCATAAGGAACGGTCCTGAGCCACCTGCCAGTAGTTGCCATGCTTGATAAGCGGATTGGCAATCGCAGTTAGGCTTTAGAGATGTGTTAAGAGGTACGTTGTTGCCTATCTCTCGACTATATATTCCCTTAGCTGCCTCTTACAAAACCCACGGGAAAGAAAGAAGTGGCCCATTCTATGCCGGGACCGACACGGCGCCAATATCTATAATAATTCAAAAATCGTCCCAAAGGACAATTTGCTAAATTTGATTGAAGTCATAAAGTTTTGCGTAAAAATATCAAAAACACACCCATAATAATATTGTCGCGTTGATTGTTGCATACTTTCAGTTTCATTGAAAAACGTATTGTTTGCTCCAATTTTAAGAGAATAGTTTTTATCCCGGTAAGGAAAATGGGCCAGGTAAAGGCCAAAATAAAGTTTGCCGGGTCAGCTAGTAACTTTATATATTTAACCGTTAAAAAGAGACGCATTCCCCCAGTACCTCGAGGGTCGAATGAATCCGTAAGAAAGGAAAGAGCGCGCTATGCGGCTGACCCATATAGGATAATGGGTCGATCTAATCAAACAGAAATAAACGAATGCCGAGAGAGGGGCACAACATCTATACGTATCTATTGCTCGAACCGAGTACCAAATATCATTAAAAATGTGTTAAAGATTAAAGAGAATTATTTTAAGTATACTTACTTAACACATTTTTTCACTTTCTCCCTCTCTCTCTTTCTCTGCTTTTAAACAAACAACTGCTGTACCCTTTTAAAACTATAATATTAATATTAGTTAAGAAACTACAGTTATGTTTTTTACGAATAAATCTCATCTCATCTAAAAACGGCGCTAGTTGGAGAGGAGGGCAGCGACAATAATAAATAATATTAAGAGAGGCTTACCAGTATAATTTCTTAGACAATCACAATCCAACAATATAACAATAATGTGTCAATCAAATAGAAAAACAAAATAAGTATCAAAAAGACATATTCATAATATAAAAATATAATGCTAAAAAGGTAAATTATATAAAAAGAGGTCTGTCGCCAACACATCTCTTAAAATATTTTTTTTTATTATAAATATAAAATTCCGAATAACACAAAGAATTAATTAAATTAAATAATTTTATAGATAGATAGATACTCTTTATTGTTTCCTCCAAAAGATTACAATAGTAAACTTATTATAAATATAAACAATTACAAGAAATAATCACAATGAGAAAACAATGGGCGTCCTTATCGCTAAAAGCGATCTAAAAATTTTATGTTATTATATTATTATATTCTTGTAATATTTGTTATTGAAA